CCCTTAGTTAAAAATTAAGATGTAACTATTGCATCAATATCTGGGTTGGTTTTTATGCATTTTAATTGGCTTTTGCTGATAATTATTTCAATGGGATATAATTTAAGACACTGATTGTGAAAGGTCTTAAAGTGAAATTTAATGAGTTGTATCCATGTATTTTATTATTCTTTAATAGCAAGCCTTTGCTAAAGTCAATCTTATCTCTACCACCCTTCCTTTTCTCTCAGCTGGCAATGTGCTTTTTCTTTCTCCTCTCCACTAAAACTATTCCTACAAAGCCCAGTTCAAGTATCATCTCCTACATAAAACTTTCCCTGACTACTCCAGCTTACACTAGGCTTCTTCACCTAAACTCCTAAAATACATGCAAATTGTGTTGTGAATTACAGATTCATTGAATGTTCAAGCTAGAATAGACCTTAGAGATCATTTAGTCCAGACCCTTATTTTTTCTAACATTTGATTATGTTCTGGTTAATTTCATATTACTAAGGCATCCCTCATATAAGCTTGCAAACAACTCTAGGGTAGGACCCAATCAGAATCAAAATTCCAAAGGATCGCAGCAGTCATCTAATCCAATCTGAAAATATAGATAGCATTTGCATTTATTAAGCATATGCTATGTGCCAGTTTCTGTTCTAAGCACTGGCAATGCAAATATAAGCAAACAAAACAGTCTCTACCCTCAAAAAGCTTATGTTTTAATGAGGGAAAGACAATACATAAAGGAGAGCTAGAAAGGAGCTCTTCTGTAGTGGGGGAGATGGAGGGAAGGGAGAAGAGTAACTTCAGGTACAATGTAGTAGGCAAGGAAGAGGAAGAACCTGGAGAGAGTCTCTAAGTGTGAGTGAGGTTAAATATGGTTGGGTCTTTCTTAAAATGGCAGATCCCAGGAGAGAGTTATCAGTCAACAGAGGAGGGCCTCATAGACAAGGTTTCTCCTAGATGTGCAGGAGAGTTTAGAGAGTCCAACTATCATTTAGTTCAACAAGGAATGAGAAATCCTTCCTAATGGAACTCCCCCAAATGGTCATCAACCCTCCACTATCTGATGCACTTCAATAATTGAAAACTAGTAAATTTCCACTAGATGAAATACAATCTCAGACCCTAAAAGAACTGACAGGAGTGATTACTGACTGAGCCAAAGTCAGTGGTTTCTGAAAGATAATAGAAACTGGGATAGGCACCACAAGATTGTAGAAGATCAAAAAGGAAAGAAAATAGAGTCTACAAACATCAAATCAGTGAACTTGACTAACAAAATCTCGATTAGATATTTAATAATATGGTTGGTGAACATCTAGAAAGGAAAATATTGATTACAAAGGACCAGCATGGTACCATCAAGAATAGGTCATGCAAAACTAACCTCATTTCCTTTTTTGGACAGGATTACTAAACTGGTGGATGAGGGGAAAGCTTTGGAAATAGTTTACCTAAACTTTAGCAATGCCTTTGATCAGATATCTTGTATTATTCTTGTGGAAAAGATGGAGGTATAAAGATTAGACAATAATACAATTAGATAAATTCAGAGCTAGTTGGATGGCTAGACTTGAATAGTTGTAAAGGTTTGATGTCAAAGTGGCAGGAGGTCTCCAGGGGATACCTCCAAGGATCTGTGCTTGGTTTTGTACTGTTTAACATTTTTAAAAAATTAATAACTTGGATAAAATACTTGAGAATCTACATATAGGGACTATATGAATACAACTACAAAATAATCTAAATAACTAGAAAAATATTACTTGCTCATGGATAGGCAGGACCAATGTAATAAAAACATCAACATTATCTAATTAACTTATTTATTCAGTGCTATACTAATCAAACTACCAAAAGATTAATTTTCAGAGCTAGAAAAAAAAGTAATAATGAAATTCATCTGGAGGGACAAAAGTTCAAGAATCCCAAGAGAAATAATGAAAAGAAAATTGAGGAAAATGGAGGCCTAGCAGTATCAGATCTCAAACTGTATTATAAAGCAGGTATCTTCAAAATATTTGATATTGGCTAAGAAGTAAAGATGTTAATCCAAGGAACACAATATACAGAAGTAAATGAACTTAGTTGCCTAGTATTTGATAAACCCAAAGACCCTAGCTAATGAGTTAAGAATGTCCACTTCAACAAAAACTGCTGGGAACACTGGAAAGCATTCTGGTAGAAGCTAGACATAGACAAAGATCTCACATCATGTGCTAAGAGAAGAAGTAAATGGTTTCATGGCAGATATTAAGGGTGACATCATAAAAAAAATTAGAAAAGCAAGGAAGAAACTGCATTTCAGATCTATCAACTGAAGAAGAAATCAGGACCCAACAAGGTATTGAAATGATCATAGAAGATAAAATGAAAAATTTTGATAACATAATTTTTAAAGTTTTTTACATAAACAATCAATGCAGCTAAAATCAGAAGGTAAACAAGATCTCAGATAGAGTTAAAGCTAAAATAGATCTAATTAAAAGAAATAAACAGGAAAACTACATTATAATAAAAGGTACCAAAAAAAATTAAGCAATATTAATACTAAACCAATATACATCAAATGCTATAGCATCTAAATTTTTAAAGGAAAAGTTAAATGAATTACAGGTAGAAATATATAGTAATACTATAATAGTGGAAGACTTTTTTCCCTCTCAGAATTAGATAAATCCAACCAAAAAAACAATAAGAAACAAGTTAAGGAGGTAAATAGAATCTTAAATAAGCTAGATATGATAGATATGTGGAGAGAATTGAATGGGAATAGAAAGGGATAAACCTTTTTCTCAGTGGTACATGATACCTTTACAAAGACTGACCAAATATTAGGGCCTAAAAACTTAAATATATATATGTATATGTACATATATATATTTGAGATATGAAATTTTATCTAAGAAACTATAAAAATTTTCTCCCAATTTTTAGATTTTATACATATGTAATATATGTATATATATATATATATATAATCTATATGAATACTAGTCATTCCCCAATTGATAAATGGTCAAAAGATATGAACAGGCAGTTTTCCAATGAAGAAATCAAAACAATTTATAGTCATACAAAAAAATGCTCTAGATCACTATTGATTAGAGAAATAAAAAATTAAAACAATTTTGAGATATCAACTTACACCTATCAGATTGGCTAAAATGATAGAAGGGGACAATCGTTTTGGAGAGCAATCTGGAATTATGCCCAAAGAGTTAGTAAATTACCTATATCCTTTAACCCAGCATTACCACTACTTGGTACATGTGTACATGGGAATATTCTTACTTTTTGGGGAGGGGTCTTTTTAAGTTCAAAATGAATAAAAATTAAAAAAGAAAAGAAGACTCAGGGGGCCCATGGTAGCTATCTTCAAGCATCTGAAAGTCTAACAAGTGGAGAAAGGACTAAATTTGTTCCACTTGGCACCATAAAGCAAAAACAAGAGCAAGAAGTGAGAGATGGAAAGAGGCAAACTTAGGCTCAATGTCAGGAAAACCTTTCTAACAATTAGAGCTGTCCAAAAGTAGAATGAGATCTAGAGAGGTGGAGGGAGGGGTCTCCATCGATGGAAATTTTCATGCAGGAACTGGATAATGACTGAGTATATTATAGTAGAGACTTGTTTTCTGTGTGGGTTGTATTAGAAGGCTGCTAAAGTCTCTTCCAACTTTCAAATTATGTGATTCTGTGACCTGACAACACATTTCATTTTTGGATAGCTGTAACTATTGAGGAAGTCTTTCTTAATATTGAGCTAACATTTGCCTAACATCTCTATAGGTATTTACTGCTGGTCCTACTTATGCTTTCTGGGGCTGAGAAAAATAAGCATAATTCTCCATGCACATGATAGTCCTTTAATACTTACTTGAAAATAACCATCTCTTTCTTCTTTACAGGGTAAACCTTCTTATTGCCTTTAAATGCCTCTTCTACTTTTACATCCCCTATAGTAACTACTACAATGGTACTCAATTAGAAAGTGCTTGCTGATTAACTGAACATTGAGTTAGGCATCAGAAGGTCTGAGTAATGTAGGCTTCTATCACTGAAGACCTACAGGTACATTTCCTGACAACTTTCCCCCATGTGAAGCAATTACCCAATGGTTGTCATTTCCATAATCAGATGAAGTAATTTCCTTTCATGTATTTATTAAAGGCTTATAGATATTTCAGAAGCTTCAACTACTTGGTACTGCACACTTTAAAAATTATACATTTCACCTTCCCCTGAGAGATCAATATTTATTTATTTTATAATTTCTTTTCCACATGCGCAACTAGACAATTGATCCCTGTGTTCCATTTTATATTTCTGTATTAGGAAAACTGTTGGAGTGAGTTGATGGAAACACTTATATAAATGTACTCTTTATCATTAAATACTATTAATGTTCTGTGAGAGTACTATCAAAGAGTTAAGTTGCAAAATCAGTCAATATGAGCTTGTTTGGAGTGATATAATATATAGAGTATTTTGCATTTCACTATCACTTAGTATGTGTTCTACTTTTCTTGCTTTGTTGAGCTATGGGGGTAGAATTTCTTTGGAGTCAGACAGAAATGGAATTAGGTCTCCCACTCATGTGGTTTCAATTAGGTTCAGTTAAAAATAGCTTGTAATAAAAGGGTTTTCATTTCCAATGCTTCAAGACTTTGGTACTTTTAATCCAAACAGAACAAGAACTACCTTTGAAAAACTACTTAATATATTTATTAAGCAGACACCAAAAACAAAGGACCTTACATAACCACCGAGTGCTGACTCCATAAGCAAACATCTTTTGGTTTGGTGCACAGTGATCTCACCTTCCAATTTCAGCTACACATAAATTCAGTTTTCCTTTTCAAAGCAAATGTCATCCTGTGACAGCATGCCAAAGAGAAGAAGCTTATTTAACAGACCAAAAGAAAAAGATGAAAACTTTTTAACAGATAATCTGAATCTGGAAAGAAATATATCTAGCACAGCAACAAAGATACTTCTCATTGAGAATCTGAACCGGGATCACTGCACTCATTTCAGTCAGGTAAATTCAGGCTTCTCTTCATATGCTAATCGTGAATGGCAATGAAAAGCTCAGCCAGCACACTCATCTGTCATTATGATATCTAGGGGGAAAGAAAACACAAAGTTACTCCAGAGTAGTTCTGGGGAGTCTTGCTCAAAATTAAATATGTAAACTATCAGTTATTATAAGTGGGGACATGGGGGTGAACCCTCTCCCATGCCTTCCCTTGGCCTATTCCCAAATAACACTGGCCACCCAGAGCAAGTGGAAGGAATGATATGGCTATTCATACCACTTGGGAAGAGTTGGGACTTACCAGCTACAAGCCTTCTTGTGAGATGGAAGAGTGCTGGGCCTTATTGTCTACTCTACCATTGTGTCCTAAAATCCTCCAGATCTCACCACATACTCTGCCACTATGCCCCTAAGACCCATAAATATTGCCATCTTTACTCTGCTACTGTACCATTAAGATATCTAAGTTATCCCATCTGTCCTACAGCTAAACTTAAATGTACTGTATCCCTCAATTGAAGGAGTACCTTTAAAACAAGGACTATCTCATGTTTTCTATTTGTATCCCCAGTGCTTGACACATAAGTGCCAAATACTTCTTCATTCATTCATTTATTTGTTCTTTCAGTTGTAATCAAGTTATTAGCCAATGAAGACCCGGTCCTTAGAGCATGTGCACATTGAATGGAAGATTGTGATTAACAGTATTAGAGAGTCTTCCTGACCTCTCAGGGTTACCCAAAGGACCCTCAGGGGAGAAGTAGCTAGGTCTGTTCTGGTGAACCAACCTGCAAGTTCAAATCAGTGTGGGATAGTATTCACAGGGTCCATGCTGGGATTCACTGGGGAGATTTCCTACCTGGGACTCTCTGGATTGGTACAGTCAGTTTTCTGGTCTGTTTCCTGACAAATGAGATCAGTTTCTCTCTGATAACTATTGCTTATTTGAATACTTACATACTGTTATCTGTTCTATTACTGTGGCAAGTAGAAATATTTTAGCTAATATAAGAAGCATGGATTTTTGCCTTCCTAAAATATTGATTCCTAAGTCATAAATGCTCAATTTTCCTTTTGCTTTAAAAAAGAGCAGAACTGCTTACCTAAACCTTTATAGACTTTAAAGTCCATAGGAGAAGATTTGCCTGCTAGTCTAGAAACCTGAAGTGATCAACCCCAAGTGCTTAATCCTTTTGGGGAGTACCCTACCTCTTCAAGGCTTACTTGATCCCATTTTCTTTCCTCTCAAGCTGAGCTTGTTTATCCCTCTCAAATTGAATTTGTTGGTCAGTTGGGAATTCCAGTGAGGAAATTTCTGGTGCCTATGGGGACTCAAAGGAAATATTCCTAGATCTTCAAGGCCCATGGTAAAGATACTATGGTAAAGATACCCTGGGGAAATCTTGGTGCATTGAGTGTAGAAGGGGACACCTAAAGATTTTGTCCAGACTTCCAGCTGGATTTCTTATGTGTTTCAGAGATCCTTGAAGATAAAATGTAGATGTTCTATGTTGCTTCTGGGACCTGGGAGAAGTTAACAGCTTTAAATGCAAGTTTTGAGGTAGATCCAGAGTAAAAGGTCTCTTTAGTGAAAGAGGGAGAGGGTGAGTGTATTAGAGCAACATTTGATTATATTACACAAACACCAAACCAAATAGATTTGGTTTTGCACCTGGGATGACTTCCAGTTGACCCTAGTTCCCAATTCCCTTTGGGAGAGTACCACACATTCTTCCAAGCTCTATAGGGACTAGCTTTCTCTCGAAGGTAGGAAGCTGGATTTTCTGTGACTTTTTTTTCCTTTATTATCTTTAGGTCAGGAAAGGCCATTTCAAATACCAAGACATTCCCTTATTACTAAGCAAGTAGTAACATTTTTCAAACTTTGTCAGGTTTTTTTGCTTGCTGAATCTGCATAATTCTGTGTGTGATTATTTGGGAATAATTGTTATTTTCACCTCTATGTGTGAGACCATATAAGATCTGTACTACAAATGAAATGACAATACTTACTCCTCTACAGATCCCAGAGAACTGTTGTGGAGTGGGGTATAGACTTTTCAAAAAGCCCCTTGGCTGATTTGTTGAAGATGGCAAATTTTTTAATGAGGGGAAGAATGTAATGTGGGAACTGGCCAATACAGGCTCAGTCCTTACATACCTAGTATCTACCTATTGCCAATACAACTGGAGGTTCAGTGAGCATGCATCTGGAAATCTGTGATGGAGGGTCCCTCTCCCTACCCAATTCAGACTATGCATGGGTATCTTGACTATTTTCTTATGGCTTACTATGTAAATAAAGAAAAGGCTTTTAATTTGCTATACAGACAAAACTGAGTATGCACTCTAGAAGCTATAGAGAAAATGAAATCTGTCTTCCAAGATGATGAAAAAAGTCAGAACTGATGTAAGCCTCTGGGTGTACAGAAAGGTAGAAGAAGCAGAAGTGGCAGCACCCTGCTACCAGTTGCCCTATGTACTCACTTGGTTGCTGCTTGGCTGTGAATCCATGGTAAATATCACCTCTGTCTCTTTTGTTTGTATTTATTCTTTTTAAACCTCAGTAAATCTGAGATAGAACAGATCAGATGACCTTATGGCTTTTGAAAAGTTAAAAGAGCCACCACAGGCTGAGCAGGTGGAGTCCACAGCAGTGTGTGCCAGCAGCTTGCAGCAGCTGAACCAGGTAAGAAGCCAGTTCTGGGGAACGACTTGTTTAACCAAGCCTAGCAATAAAGTGATCCAGTAGCCGAGAAAAGATGTCCTGCAAGCAAGGGAATGATGTGTCTGTTGCCTACGCAACACCCAGAAGTGAACTTGATGGAGGAAATGTTTTACAGCAACTACTTAGCTTGAGCTAAGAGACCAAGTTGGCAAAGGAGGGTGCTCCTAACTTGGGAGATTGCTGTAGTACTCTGCTTTTTTGCTATATCTTCTCATTAAATATATCTCTTTACAAAAGCTAATTGATGTTTAACTTGTTAGTTAATACTGAGGAGCTGGTAATTGGTTGACTGATATCAGGGTGAATACACCGGATGCTTATGAGCAACAGTAGTGGAAAATCACTCCCAACCTCTCACAGTAACCCCTAGAACAGGAAGAATAAAAGCATTAGGTATACTTTAGAGATCCATCCTGCTAGTCTAAGTGAAGTTGGAGAGAAGTCCCTAGAGCCTCATTCATAAGTAGCCAGTTATCAAGTCAGCTTTTTGTAGGATTTCATTTTACCAATGTCTGTTTCTAAGGGGAGCTAAACAACTAACTGAGAAGAGAAAAAAATCATACTAGTTGTTTGGCATCCATGATCTCAAACTAATTGTATTGATTTGTAAAGAGTAAATCCGTAAATCAAGTATATACATTATGATCCATTTTTTTTTCTTTTGCTCTTATAGAAGGGAGGAAAAGAGGGAAAGATGAGAAGAAGCAAGTAAGCCAGAAAGTAAGTGAGCTAGAGCCAGAGAGCAAGTGAGCCAGAAAGTAAGCGAGCTACAGCCAGAGAGCAAATGAGCCAGATAGAAAGCATGAGAATAACAAGAACATGAAGTATGCACAAAAGTGAGAGAGCCAGACAAAGAGAATAAGGGAGTATACCAGAGAACTAGGGGGAGGGTGGGGGGAAAAAGGGGAAAGGGGAAGAAGCAAAGTCAATCAGTGGCAAAAAAGAGAACACTCTTCTATGTAATATTATACCTCAGATATTATGATGACATAGGCTACTAAAATAAACACCCAACAATTCATATTGTCATTTCAAAGTCAGATATCAAGCTTATATAATGAGATTACATAATGAGGTCCATAGTAAATTTTCTTTTCTTTTTGAAAAGATTTCTACTGATTTTTTTTTGATGGTACCTACGTTTTTGTTTCTTGGTTTTATCAAACATTGAGTTGTTGAGTTTTTTGATTCTTCCTTTATTCCTCCTGTTCCTTTGATCTGTTTTCCTATTTTTAACCAGTACCAAATAATTTGAACAATAACTGCTATATAATTTGAAACCTGGAAATACAATTCACCTTTCATTCCTTCTTTTCTTTCATTATATCTAGATTTTTTGTGCCTGTAAAGCAATCTTGCCTAGTTCTATAAAGCATCCCGTTGGTATTTTGGTATAGTACTAAATCTATATAATAACTTCAATAGTTCTGTCATTTTTATCATATCCAGCCATGATCACCAAATATCCATCCATCCATCCATCCATCCAATTATCTAAGCTGTTCTTTATTTCTTTAAGGAGCATAAATAGAGTATACTGTGGGAGATTGAATCCCAAATATTTTGTTCATTTTTGTAGTTATTTTGGATGTGATTTCCCTTTCTATTATTCCATCTTAGATTTTATTGCTATATAGAAATGCTATTGATTTTAGGATGTTCGTTTTGTAATTTGCAAAACTATTGAAGCTAGTAATAATCTTAATCAGTCTCTGCTAATTTCCTAGAATTTTAGTTTTGTCTTCTTTCTGCCTGTCTTTCTGCCTTTAACTTCTTACTCTAATCCTACTCAAATAAGAAAATATATAGAGCTTAGCATGGTGCTTGGCACACAGTAGGCTTAAATGTTCATTCTCTTACTGCTATTGATAGCATTGCTAAAATAAAGTCTAATAACAGGGACATCTTTACATTATTCTTTATTTATGAGGAAAGTTTCTAATATTTCACCAATGCATATAATGAATGCCTTTGGTTTTAGACAACCATTTTTATTATTATTATTATTTGTGTGTATACATGTATGTATGTGTGTATATACATACATACATACATACATACATATGACTTAATAGTGTACTCTGTCAAATGCTTTTCCTGTATCTCTTGCTATAAACAGGGCAGCTAGGTGGTGCAGTAAATAGAGTGCTGGGCCTAGAGTCAGGAACATTCATCTTCCTGAGTTCAAATTTGGCCTGAGACACTTCCTAGCTGTGTGACCCTGGGCAAGTCACTTAACACATCTGCAAACCACTCTAGTATCTTTGCCAAGAAAATCCCACAATGGGTCATGAAGAATTGAATGTGACCAAAACAGCTGAAAAACCTGATATAATCATGTGGTTTGGGCCATTTTT